CAATTTAAACATAATATAACTTGGCAAAAACGACCACTCGAGCAACCTCCAAGGAGGTGGTGCACATGCACAGAACATTCAGTGGGTATCAACTGGAGATATGCAGCCCAAGATCGACAGGCCTAGCCTAACTGCGCTTGGCATGTGAAAACATCCTCAGTAACATCACTAACAGGAGATACCCGCACTGATAGCCTGAGTAGTTTTGCTATTCTTGGTACATTTGTCATTCTAGCCTGCGCATCTTTCTACTGAACAAAAAGCCATCAAATAAAATCCATTGAAAAAATGCAAAAAAAAGATCACTTACATGAGAACTTGTGGTGTAAATACTGTAACATGGCTTGCAAGAACGTATGGTGCACGTCCGTTATCGTCCACAATATCACTGCCACTCATACCTTCCACCCAGAACACTTTACGCAGAAATCGATTCAACATTGTACACTGCTGCTCAACCAGTGGAATTGTTGGCACTACCATTGCTGCCTTAAATAACTTTGATCATGTTCTCGTCCGATTACAGATGATCATTATTACTTTTACCTTGTAAATCTATGAAATCAATATAAACAACACAAAAAGCCTCCAATGAGCTAGAAAAAAATAGAATCGGAGAAAAGTAACGAACTTGCGAGAAAATTTATCGCAGTCAAGCAAAACGGATGTTAGCGAATTTTCCTTTAAAATCCATGGGTGAAAGAATTTGGACTTTTTTGGAAACGACAAATGCGAACCTTTCCGTCGATAGATGTATGTGACAGCAAATGTTATTAGAAGATTAAGAAGTAGCGAAAACTGAGAAACGGTAGAACATTTTCTCAAAAAAGAAAAAAAAAACAAATAAAAGGAGATGCACCGTCGGTTCGGCACAGGAACTAAAGGTAGATGGTCTAAGCGCAACGATACCATTTTGGACAACAGAATACAGATGAAAAATAATTTTTGACATTAAACAAAGCACAGGAAAAGGCAAAGTCCCGAGGTAAGAAACAGTACGTTGTAGGATATCGTTAACAAATTAAACTATTGCAGTCTCGAATGGGTGTGAATGCCTTAGCGAGATAGCTCGCTGAGGTTCCGAAGACAGGAAAACAGCCGGATAAAAGAGGCCATCAAGTGGCCAGCTAATGTTGCTGGGATGTTTCCATACTCAGACGCAGCCAAATCGGGCTCTCCGATTCTGAGCGAATTTATGTAGACTCTCTCATAACAGCGGTGCTCCTTTGCCAGCCCTATATCGATATTAGCAGAAACTATCGGAACATGAAAAGAATCTTCTTAGTTTCCATACAGAAAATGAAAAAACAGTGGAAACAACGATACTGAGAGATATCAAGCAACATTCTTGCTCAATAAACAGACATGAAGCAGTCACTTACTCGGCACATTTTGTTCTCAGCTTTCATTGCGCGAAAATGCTCCAGTAAAATGTGCGCAGCCACAACAGTTTTTCC